CATATTTGAAAGTTCATGCTTACAATAAAATTCTTCTGCTTCTAGTTTCTCGTGTGGTAAATTAAGGGCGACAAAAAAAAAGCGGCCAGACAGGCTAGCTTGAAACTTAAAAGAATGCCCTGTCGTTGTGGCTGATGCTTGTGTGCGTGTACACACCACGAAATCACTCCAGGCATCCTATTATCAGGAACATGCATTCCGGCTAAGTGTGTATTGCATCCGGAGTCTCAGAGTAAGCGTCATTTCACATGGGCGCACTGAATGAGGCGTACATTGCCTCATCTTCAATGAGTTCTTGTCCGAAGATCGAATTCACAGGGACATAAAACAATGCATTTACGATGTTCATCCTCCAACGCACACACCAGAAACCCCTTGATGCATATCTGGCGCTATCAAATCTAGCTTGGAGACGTGAGGAGCGCTCTCGAGGACACCCTACAATGAACGCATAACTCAAGACATTTAATCTGGTATTGGGCCTTGCAAGTAGTCTAAAGTCACCCATACTGTCCACCTCATCCATTCTGCTTTTAGTTTCTTACCATTTCGTCAAAGCAATTGTATGCAGTGCAAAAGGCAAAACGCCATCTTGAGTTTCATCTAACCCTCCACCCCTTAGAGATCCTCCCGATGTTTAATACGTCTATGTGGATCTGGACCTCGGCACGGTAGCATGGATGCGATGGGGCTATCCGCTTTGGGGCAAGCCGAGCATGCCGGGTAAGAAGCAATAAAGAACCACTGATTTGAGGTGGCTATTCCAGCAGAATGTGAGCTAGGAATCAACATATTTGCCAACAGGAGGAGCACACATTCATATTCACATTACTTTACAGGACTAAATGAAGCTTGAGATCAGGGTGGACCGTGGCCGTGATAACAGTCCAAAGACAGTTAGCTTTCAAACTCGATCGCCACTACCCGCTGGGTACGAAGGATCAAGTGACAAGGATAGGTCTTTCTAGTGCGTCCTCAAATGACAGATGTCCACTTATCACTGGGAAATAGGGGTGTAAGAGACACCACAGCGGGCGTTCGACTGTTGCCTCCGCAAGAGCCGGGTAAAGAATATTGAAGCAGCCTAGATCATTTTATACTTATCAAGACAGAAAACTTTGTTTCTTGTCGACCTTTCCAAGGAATTTCCAACATGATGGGTCAAGGGACGCTACCCAGACACTGTGAACCCTGTATGCATGTGGTATGCTGTATCGTTCGGCTTTATTTGCTCACCTCCCTGGCTCATACTAGTTCCAAAAAAGCCAAGCTACAACTCAAAGAACTACAGTCACCTTCTTGTGTGAATAAATAAGCAAAAATTAATTGGGCTTTACCCCGGTTGAGCAGCTGTGTACAGTAAGTTATAGTTAGGTAACAAGTCAATAAGATATCAAGAAGCACGCCTCTGCGGCAGCTGGGCTTGTAGAAAACCCCACAAGTTCGTTTAATGATCTTCACTCTGAAGTAATAGAGTGAGAGTATGCCGGGGGCCATGCTAAGTTAGCTGTTACCAGGCGCGAAAGGCAAATATTTGCACCACCGCTCTAGCGCCTCCTATTTCTCGTTGCCAATAGGACGCCACGGCTAAAGCCTGCCTCAGTATCTACGTACCTACAAGCGAAAATTGCTAGGATCATTGAGTGGTACGAGCACCGTTGTTCTACGCCTCGTTTTATAGAAAACGCAAATCTGTTGCGGCTTAAAAAATCCTCAGGAAAGCCACGGCGTTTACGTACACATCAAGCTCCTTGTGTCGAATATAAGCGACCCCCATTGGCGCAAAGGCTGTATCAACAACTGGGTCACATCCGGTTCGACAAAGCATAGAGTACGGATACTCAAGTAGAAAGAAGTAAGAGAAAAGGAGCTACCTGCAAAGGGGAAGTATCGATGTGTGTGGTGTCGCACTGTCTAGTAGGTACCCATGCCTACGTGGGCCATGCTCAGCCCGAGAATTTGTTGCCCAATTTCTCAAAATTAGTAAAGTATCTATTAATCATTCTGAGGTTCTGTGACTGATTGCTAATGATCAGCCTTGTCTTCTGGCACGCATTCATCCGTGGTTCACTACATTCCAAGCCATTGAAGCCAGCCATCAGGGCTCCCTCAGTCAGATTCTGTGTCCACGTCTTCCATGGAGTCTGAACTCGCCCCGTTGTCAGCTCTCCGAGAGCCTTTACTCAACCGACTTTTCCCTACTTTTATGTTCTGGTTGTGCTTTGCTACCCACCGAGCACTGATAGGCTGGTCTCGAGCATTGAGTCTGTGCGGCACAACTTTGAGAGAAATAAATAGGTCAGCCACTCACTCACTGTATAATGAAGAAAAATAGAACAGACATCCGCTTACCTTGCATCCCATATCTCCTGATAATGGTAACTTCTTCTACAGCTGAGATCTTACACTCCTTGAAGTGTGCTATCGCATCTCCGCTAGCGATCGGATCTCGAGAGAAGTTGCGACTCTGGCAATCCTCCTTTGGACAAAGCAGGATCCAATGTGCCTTTGAACCATCGAGCATATAGGAGAAGACAAAACTGTCCGAGTAAGCTCTTTCTACCGCATTCACGGTCACAACTCGAGGACCCTCAACCCTTTTCCGCCGAATGACAGTGCGATCCGGTTTGGGCGGCCGGCGCATGGAAATGAGGTCCTGAGGCATCGTGAAAGGAGTCGGCTTCGTCCCCGCGTATTGGAAGGCAGAGCAGGACATTCCAGCGATGTTATCGAAGAAGAAATTGTTGATGTGACACGGGAATTGTGCTTTGATCCTGGCAACAACTTCTGGCCTCTCTTCCGGCCGGTACTTGGGAGGAAGACCCGCGAGAAGACTCTGCTGACAATGGCTCCTAAAAATCTCATATGACTCTAGAACACGTTTGACCTCAGTAGTGATCTGCTGGTGGAGGTCATCTTCAAGTTGTCTAATGTATAGACGAATTGCTGTTGCCGATTCCTCGGAGAGACTGTTTGTCGAATCTTCTGAAAGGCTCATGATGCCCTTCTCCTGAGCTGATGGCTGCGGATGAGAAGGGGCAAAGCTGATGCTAAGTCAAGGCGGAGAGGGTGACCTTTTTCAATCCAATGCTAAAATCAAAGGAACGGCCAACTTGAGAGAAACTTCCTTATTCCTCAACACCTGTACCATGAAATCGAAAGTACCCACCTAAACGCACACCATGTCAGAAGCGATATCTTTACTACGCTCCCTCTTTCACTCATACTCAAATACCTTCCTCAAACTTGATTGTCTAGCGCCCTCACCGCAGCAGTGATTGTGCCAAGAATGACACAGCCTATTGCAGATCTTGTATCATTGCTCACCGATAGATAATCCTTGAGGCGTCACATGTAGGGAAAAGGGGGCGTGCGGTGACGGTGCAAGCCTTCCCTGCTTAGTTCATGATTTTATTGCAAAACCCGGTAGATTGATGTCTACAACACCCCTATTGTAGCTGTTGCCTCCATGGATCCACATCGTGGACCATTTTCAGACAAGGTGCATGTACATGTAATCACTTACACACCGGTGTGTTCCTGGTTCTTCGATGTATCTGCAGCCGCTGGTGGGCTGAGTACCCTTCAATTGACATGCAACGTCTCCTCCCAAGATTACGAGATGCTATGAAACCTACATGCATTGTGCACCGCGTTAGTCTAGGGTGGTCTCTGTGCTTCAATGGGGTTATCTGCCGTACCCGGTATCTTCCAGGTACATCAATCCGGGACGAGGACTAATCAATATCAGGGTTAAGCCTCGGCAGATGCAACAACTAAAAAGAATGTTAATCGTTCGTCCTCATTTTCCCCATGGCATTCTTATTTACATGGCAGCAGAAATCATCCCTTGCACCTTTTCTGTTTCTACGTTTATCAATATCTTGCCAATATTCAGACATGGTCGAGCACGAACGACAGACTGCGTAAGTGTTCTGTGCTAAGGATTCAAAATTCTCACCTTTATCATCAAACATAAATACTGACCTAAGCTTACTCGCCCAGTATCTTAGCACTGGACTGGGGGAGCAGCGCCATTCGTGGTAGTATTTTAACCCGTGACACTCGTCAGAAGTATCTCATCTTCAGTGAGGACGCTTTGCCTGGGCATGATCAACGCTATCAAAAAGGCGCTTTCAGTTCGGCACTCTATCTCGATGGCATTGGAAGGGTCTATACGGGTGAAGACATGGACCAGGATAGGGAACCGGTGCCGTCAAAGCCCTTCTTCTCCACATCTCCAAACACCGGAGATGATGCTACTGATGCCTTGTTTCGGGGCTCACAAGCGGAAGCAACTTGGTACCTTGTCAAACAGGGCATGAATGATATCGCTAGAACAGTCATTGAGCGAGTTGAGAGCTTTTGCAACGGCAACAACGACTCTGACTCGCGTACCTACTTCTACATCGAAGAGATTGGGCTGTCTTACCCTGCTCATTGGAGACTAGGAGAACGAACCGAGTATGAGAATCTTTTGAGAAAGAACATCCCCCCAACTTCGACTTGGATCAAACCGAGTTTTGAAGTCAGCTTTCACGTTGAAAGCCTTGCATCGGCCCATAAATTGTTCGCCACTGAACGGCTCGTCGATGAGATTTTTGTATCACCACAGATCCCAGTCCTTGTCGTCTTTTTGGACTTCGGTGGTTACACGATGGTCAGTAATCTAACACATCACCAATGTCCGGGAAAAAGTTCATAAGGCGAATGACCAATTCTAGAACGGGTGCATGTTTAGTGCACAGAAGAGCACCGACGGCAAACTCAGCTACCATCGAGTGGGTCAAACATTTTGTATGTTCTGGACACTAGCTTGTTTCTCGACATATCTGACACGTTTTCCGAAGCGACCTTTGGCGGTACTCAGTGGTGGGAGCAAGAGGTCAATAAGTTCATGAAGTCGTACGTGGAGAAGACTACTAAGCGCGCTCTACCACCTCGACTACGATCAGAACTTCTCGAATCATTCCAGCGAAAGATTGTGAATTTCAAAGGAAGCGAGGTTGAGCCGATGTACTTCACCTGTCCGAACCCTGACGACGAGCAACAAATATGCAGCGTGAATATTTCACTAAATGAATCCAAGAGCTGTTTTTGGAGGGCTATGGGAGAGCCTCTGAAGCTTGCTGAAAGGAAAATCGCTGAAGCAGTGTCTCTCAACGCCCATGTCAAAGTTGTTCTGTCAGGGGGCAGTGGTAAGAACTCTGCTGTCCAAGCTCGGCTCAACATGGCCTGCCGGCGGTACGGGTTGTCGGAGCCATCCACGATGTACACACCGAAGGACGAGTGAGTAACATGTTAATAGCTCGACTCAGAACTGCGAGCACGGCAATGCTGATATCCAACGGCAGTTCATGGAACATTTGCCGAGGGGTAGCACTTGCGACAGCAAACACGATGTCTGTACGAGAGTCAATAGCAAAGGGTGCCGCGTTTGGATTCCAACGAGGAAGTCTCTCCAAAAGGCCAAATGAATCTGGAGGCCAGTGGGAAGAAGAGATCGAGGTTTCATTGGACTTAGTAAGTTGTTTCGACCTATTTTGCGTCGCTTATCATTTACTCCTTTGTGTGTACTGACAAAACCCATGGACAGGCTGGGCCAAGTCCTTGGAAAAGGTGGTTCAGTGGTAAATCTAGAGTCAGGATTATTTGCGACCCTTTTCTACAGGTTCCTGACAGGAAGAAGTATCTCCGTCTTGCATCCTGCTGCGATGTCATCGAACTTCCCCAACCTCACAAGGGTTATTGGCTGTTCGAGCTCGAGTTTGAAGGTGCTGGTGATGAACGATCCTTTGTCATTCAAAGGCATTACATGGGTCATGGCGGAAAAAGAATCATCCGCAGTATGCCTACGTTGAGGTTACCATTGTACTACGATCCGTCCTACTGCTGCTGCTTGATTGACACAGAGGTAGACGATGAAGGCTTCGGTCTCCTGGTGACGAAAGACGGAGACATTGTGGCCTGCCCAGAAAAGCCTGTACAAAGTGATCTTGAGCGCGAAGAGCTACGTAACTCCGATGAGATTGAAAATCCTCGAAAGCGGAAGCGAGTAGTCTTACCAAAACACAGCGCAGCCATTAACAAGCTATCAGGTCTTGGTTCCAAACCATCCGGTCATCTTCCGGAGCTCAAGCCAACGGACCGCTTGCCAAACTCCAAAATAGTGCCGGGTGCTACTCATTTCAAGAGGTCTGCAGTTGGACTTCGCACTGTTGGTCACGTCCGTGGAATAGAGGAGGTGTCAAGCAGCGGAAGCGATGATTCTATCATAGCGGTGGCGTATGATACTGGCTTCGTCCAGCAGGCTTCTTCTTCTGGGAGACGTGTGATGAAACAGGCTATTTGGAGCGACACATCCAATTTCGACTCTGAGACTTAAAGTTGGCAGTTGGATTCGGGTTGACAAAGTCGGGATTTCATGCTTTTCTCCTCTTTTCGATAGCTTACTCGGACCGGAAATACACATTCTTAGCTACTTAAGAGCCATTTACGACCGCTCCCGTGATTTGATCGACAGATCTGTCTTTTGCGTCATACGGTGATCCGACTAATCACTATGTAGGCTCAATCAGAGCGCAGGCACATGGACTTATGAGAGATCTATGTAATTCAGGCAAATCGTTGATCATCAGGTAAAATGAATTTAGACAGTAAGAAGGAGGATCGAGGAAAATACGATAGCCTCACATAGGTATTGGTCGGGGGCTCTTTCTAGTGACAGTGAATAAACTATAGCTGGGCTCGCCACTCAAGAATGTATTCGGCTTCGAAGAGGTCACAAAGGAACAACTCCATTTGGGGCATGTGTAGATCTAGGCCGCCATTCACAACAGGGACCCCTCGCCATCTTTACCAGTACCTTCGGCCGTCAAAGCTCTGTTGTTCGACACATCAATCGTCTGTATAGGCCACTAACTCTGCGCTTGCGAGTCACCACCATTCCTGGGATTCCTCGGCGACAGGTGATGCAATCACGAGAATGGAGCTTGAGACCTGTTGCAACCTTTGCTGTCGCCTCGTGCTTGTCGGCTGCGCTTGATGCAGCTGGTCTAGACTTCTCAAAGACCTCACTACTATGCCTTCGGCCTCTTAGTATTACGATGTGCAGACATAGATCCGGGTGACGCCAGGGCTAGAATAATAACGAATCGCACTTATTGACGGAGAAGACTACCTCCTACAGATACCTTGGTGGGGAACTCCTCATCGCGAGCCCTCATACTTTTTTACGTCCCTATCTTCTCATATGATTGACGACGTTACCAAATAATTCGTCATTGCTCCAGAAGCTCTCTGGGATAGCAGGTTTGTATGGCTCCTCGTTATCTGCGGTGATGAGGGATGGGGCGAGATTACCTATGTATTTGAGGCAAACCCCCGACCCCCTATTCCGCCAGTTTCCCCTCCCCCTAAAAACGGGATCATTTGGCCGCAACACCATGACGTGGGAGAGACAGATGAAGTTTGTGAAATTTGGTCCCTCAAATCTCCAACCATTGGTTCCGGGTACTCACTCTATGTCTCAATGCCGCCTCCGCCCTCCGCACCTTAAGCCCCTCTGCTAACGCAGCGTACATTACCTACTCTTGGTATTCCATGGATAGTTTGCCCCGATCTAATCAGCTGGATGCCCAAAAGACGATGGACTCGCTCTTGAAGGCTATGTGCCTGGAAACGCGTCGCAAAGAGGCATCTATCCGGGCAACGTACCATGAGGTATGAGCTCGCGATAGCAGAATGCGTGCCAATCAATGCAGCCCTCTCCCCAGCGACAACTTTGAAAGTCAAGCCGCTCTCCTGGAAAGGTGAAATACTGTCAGATCATTCAATGGGAAGGGCGGGGGGATGCTATGATCGAAGTGAACATCAAGGTTCTCTTGTCATTGTGTCATCAAGAAGGTATGCCTTGCCAACCCCTCCGCACCATCTTTTCGGCCCGAGCACTCGCCGGGAGGGCGCACATCTCTTCCATACATGTAGCTCTCCAGTCAGCAGCGCGAATTGATTACGCGCACTGCAACCCCTTTCATATTGAGCCTCTTTCATTGTCCTCGTTGTATCAAGCTCCAAAAGCGAGTATGGACAAAGCGTGGGTGTTGTCTTGTGCAGGCCGGTATATCCCTTCTGCCATTATGCCAAACCTCGTATCTGCTCTAATAAGCGATCTGTTGTTGCCGAAGCAAAACTTTATCTACGTATCGAGATGTAGGTGGGAAAACATAACATGGAAAGGATACAGAAGAGGAGAAACCGTCTAGTTGCCAGGGTGCCCCGTGGTACGCTCTCCCGAAATATTGCTTGAATTCTAGAAGTGGGACGCAGTGAAGGGTCTTCAGCCTTCAGATACTTTTTGATTCAGCATGTCATTGCCTTGCTGGTTCTCTTATTAGTTTTCTTGCTCGCACCGGAGGCCCCCAACGTGTCATTATCTATATGATAGTTTGGAGGTGTACTCATCCCAGCTCACCGTTAGGCGTCTGAGGCATGGAAACTGCCGCTCCCTTTTCCATTTCACTGCCTTCCGCACTTATACTCAATCCAAAACTTCCCTTGACAGTGGAAGAGCCACACACTAGAGAAAGGCCATGGGGGCTGCCTGAGGAGTCGGTATCACCGGGTTGAGAGGACCGTAGTAATCTTTTGTCAAACCAACGGCCAGCGATTCGCTCCATTGGGCAAAAGGAATGCGCGAAATCTCACGTCTTCAGTTCCAGCATGTCGGCATGATTCGCATGATGGCGGGAAGCTGGCCGTATGATTCTGCCGACACGCGTGCAGCGAGCCCGCCATCTTACGTTCCCGGCACCGTCTCCGATCCGGATCGATTTCCGAATCCCCGTTTGGTAGTGGTGGGTATCCGAGTCAGTCGGCGCCGCGGGTTAAGCGACCGCCGTTGCGGCCCCGACCATTTCTCTCTTACGTGGGCTAGGTGTAACGTGTGTGAGGGGTAGAGCAGAAAATAAAACCACGCGGCTCCGTGTGACTCGGTAGTAGCGAGTTCCCGTCTGCACGTCACTGACTAGATGTGGTTACTCGTGACTCAATCTGAATCTTAGGTAAGATCGTGGGAGACTAGAGATGAACTAACAAGCGGAGGGCCACGTGGGAGGACAAGGTATGCAGATAATATCACATTCGGAATAGGCATGAGTTTCAAGAGGTACGGCCTATTCCACGTCTGAGAAACATTTCACAGTGACGACTTCCGAAATAGCACAAACCTCGCTAAGCGAGAAATATGGAAATACACTTATGGGCGACGGGCCGTAGTGTAAGAGAATTACCATTTTGCCCGGCTCCGGCAAACTCAGGAGCTTGTCGCCGGCTACGGACCCTTTTGCCGGTGGTGACCAGGATGCGACAAACCGTCGTGGGCAGAATTTCCGGCCAGGTTTTTATGAGTGTTGGCTTTGGCGGCTTGTCACCCTCATCCCAAGATTCTCCCATGCACTAACCCGAGTCAAACGGCTTTTTAGTCTGTATTGCTTGACTCTTACTCTTACAACTCGCGGATGACCCGCTGGCAAAATAGATATCCTCATCATTACGTGCTTGAAGGGGAGCTGGCCCCTCCTCCACCTGTCAGCCAAGATGACCACTTTGGGGTTCCTACGTGCTGCATCACAACAAAGTTGGAGTGGCATTACGTTGGCTATCATTGGTGATACTTCTGTATAAGAGTCTCGAGACATCCCCGTCGCCAATACCCTTCTTTCCAGCTTCGGTAGTCCTAGTAAGACTAAGTATACTGGGAGCAGTTACGCTCGCTATATACCTGCAACTGAATATCGGTACCCAACAATGGCCCTATTGCAACTTCTATCCGTGCACAGGACACGGTTTGCCGCAATGCTACTCCTCATCCTCCTCCTCGCCACCGTCACCGTCTACGCCCTACGGACCCGGTGCACGCGCACGCGCCTCCGCAAACTCGGAACCCACCAATACCTCCCGCTCCCGCCCGGTCCCCCCGGCGAACCGATCCTCGGCCACCTCCGCATCATCCCGACCGACAACCCCGAACACGCCTACGCCGCCTGGTCAAAAGAATACCGATCCGACGTACTCTCCTTCAACGTCCTAGGCCAGCCGATCATCGTCCTCAACTCCGTCCGCGCCGCCGTCGACCTGCTCGATAAGCGGGGCGCAAACTACGGCGATCGCCCGCGCTTTGTGCTATTCGAGGAGATGGGCTGGCGCAAGACGCTGACATTTATGCGATGGGGGCCAGAGTTCCGTATGCATCGCAGGATCCTGCAGCGGAGCTTCTCCAAGACGAGTGTGCAGGTGTATCACGAGCTGCAGGAGAGGGAGGCGTTGATTCTGGTGAAGGGAATTTTAAGTAACCCTGAAAGCTGGGAGACGTCGCTGCGGAGGTTTGCGACTGCTATTGTGATGAAGATTGGGTTCGGTGTTAATGTTGAGAGTGATACCGACCCGTATATCCAAATGGCCGCGGATGCATCCTACGCCCTCGGCCATGGAGGGGCGCCGGCCGGGACGCTTGTTGACTACTTCCCTTTTGTGCGGTACCTCCCCGACTGGCTGGTCCGAGACCGATCACTCCGCTTCGCGCGGACCTGGAGCTGGGCGATCCGCCAGATCCACGATGCGCCATACGCCGCTGTGGCTGCCAAGAGGACCCAAGACCGGGAACATAGCCTCGTCAAGACCCTACTGGAGCAGAGGGCAGAGCAGATGGAGTCCGGCATCGTGCCGGAGCTGTCGATAGACGACATCAAGGGTGCTGCGGGGGCAGTCTATGCCGCGGGGCAGGATACGACTTGGTCCACGCTGGTGGTGTTTGTCCTCAACATGGTTCTGCACCCCGAGGTACAGGAAAAAGCGCAGAGGATGCTGGACGAGGTCGTCGGGGGCGAGAGGATGCCTTCTTTCGAGGACCGGCCGAAGCTGCCGTATATCGACTATATCGTCCAGGAGACGCTGCGGTGGTGCCCTGTATCCCCTATCGGTGTCCCGCACCGCTCACTCGAGGATGATGTGTACGATGGCATGTTTATACCAAAGGGGTCGTTCGTGTACGCCAACGCGCGTGCCATGACTCACGATGAGCGGACGTATGCTGATCCTGAGGTGTTTGACCCAGAGAGGTACGTTCCTGTTGAGCGGGGCGGTCGCGGGGAGCCGTTTTCGGTGGGACAGTTTGGGTTTGGGAGGAGGGTTTGTATTGGCAAGCATCTTGCGGAGGCGAGTGTTTGGATTGTGATTGCTTCCATGTTGGCGACGGTCAAGATTGAGAGGGCGAGAGGGCCGAGGGGGGAGGAAATTATACCACGTGTGGAGTTGACGAATGGGCTTACGAGTCACCCGAAGCGATTCCCGTGCCGGATTATACCCAGGATTGCTCGTAGTGCAGAGATGGTTATTTCTGCCACCTAGTAGGTGCACCCTACTGAGGGGTCTTCGGACGGGTGTATTGCGCAATGATTTGCATGCCTAGCAGATCGTCATTGCTGAATGTTGTAAATATTTCTGTTCACGGGGAAAGGAATGGGGGGGAGGGGGGGCAGTGGAATTATGGAATATTATATAGTGTAAAAGACTCAAGGAGATATTTAGTACTAACTATCAAACTAAAAGTACAACTACAGACAAAGGAGATCTATGAAATCGACTATGGCCATCCCTCCTATGGTATCATCAAACTCGTGAATCAGGCATAAGCCACCAACGCCAATCTACCCCAATCATTTAAATGAGTGTCTGTGATATTATCATTGGTCCCTTACTTGGAACCATTGATCTTGCTGCCGTTCTCGCTCTGCATAGCCTGCATACCGGCATTCATCTTGCCAAACTGCCACTCGGGCAGCGTAATCCCAGTCTGCTCGTTGATGGTCGTCATCAGGGGAGGCAGCATCTGGTAGACGTTGCGCATGGTATCGATACCGGAGTTGCCACCACCCTCACCGGAGCCCTGACTGCCCGTGTTCCAGACGCTAATCTTGGGCTGCAGGCCGCGGATGGCCTCGGCGTTGGCCTTTGCGAGCTGGACGTAGGTGCCCTTCTCGATCATGAGGTACTGCAGCAGACCCGCGGGACCACCAAAGGCGGTCGACATCTTTCCGTAGGCGTCCGCCATGGCGGCCATACCCTCGGCCTTCTTGAGCATAATGGCGAGATCGGCCTCGGCGTTGAGCTGGGCAGAGTACTGGTGCGCCTCGGCGTCCTGGCGGGCCTTGTAGGCGTTGGCGTCGGCCGTCTTGGTGGTGCGGTTGAACTCGGCTGAGGTGTGCGCGTCGGCATCCTTTTGCGTCTTGAAGGCCTTTGCCTCGGTCTCGCGCTGGCTCTTCTCAAAGTTGGCCTTGGCGTCGGCCTCGATGGCGTAGGCCTCGGCGTCGGCCTTTTGCTGGCGGGCCTCGCGCTCAATGGTGGCTTTCACGACCTCAGTGGCACGCAGGCGCTCAATCTCGGCGGCGGCGCGCTTGACCTCGACCTCGCGCTTGAGGTCCTCGTCCTTGGACTCGAGGGCGCGGCGGGCCTCGACGCGGGCGATCTCGACGTCCTTGCTGAGGGAGGCCTGGCGGGTGTCGAGGTTGGCCTCGGCGGTGGCGCGCTCGATGTCGCGGTCCGTCTTCTGGACGGCGGTCTCGGCGTTGATCTTTGCAATCTCGCGCTCCTGCTCGCCCTTGCGCTTCGACTCGCCGACGTTACCGCGGAGCTGGGCCTCGGCGACGTCGATCCTGGCCTGGTTGCTGGCGCCCTCATGGGCCTTGCGGGAGAGGGACTCAAAGTAGTTTGAGTTGGGGGCGTCCTTGAGCTCCTTTACGTTTGCGTTGTAGATCTTGAGGCCGAACTGGCTGAGCTCGGACTGGATGTTGCGGAAGATGCGGCGCTTGAAGACCTCGCGCTCGGTGAAGATCTCCTCCATGGTCATGCTGGAGACCAGGACACGGACCTCACCTTCGATGATGCCCTTGACGATGTTCTCGAGGTGGACGAGGGAGCTGGTCTTCTTGTCGGCGGACTCGGCGAGGAGCATGGCGTACTTCATGAGAGCGTCGCCGCGGTCCTCACGGCGGTTGGAGGAAATGTAGCTGTCATCCTCGTCGTGCTGCTGCTGGTCGGGGGTCTCGGAGTGGTGGCTTGATTGATGAGCGGCATTGGCGCCGCGCTGGTTGACGTCGGGACCTACGGTGAAGACGACGGGCAGGAGGAACTGAAGCTTCTCCTTGGTCATGGCCTGGAGGCTCATGGCATAGTCATGGGGGGTGATGCGGAAGCGCATGCAGCGTTGGAAAGGCCAAACCCAGGCGGCCTTTGTGATTTTGACCGTCTTCACGGACATACCCGTGATGGCGAGGTATTCATCGGGGGCGGCGACTCTGTACGACATTTTGGCGGTCTTGTATGGGTAGAAGTGAGTGAGAGTAAGGTATAGATGGAGGTAGGGTTGGAAGAGGTAGAAGAGGCTATGATTTTTTGAGGCGACTGCTTCCCAATGAATCTGTTGTTAGAAGCTTGGGTAGTAGATCAATGGATGTTTGGAGTATACGTTGACGAGTTAGGTTGCTGGTGAGATTGCTAAATTACTTCTCCTGTACTAGACACGGAGACCTGGGGTATCTTGAAGTAGCTCTTTGTTGGTGTGACGCATCACTGCAAATAGGAGGAACGGTCCTATTATATACCTTGGAAACCAACGAGGCAGATCGAAGCTCTACCTTGGCTGTAAGCTCGAAAATGGACTCACATCATGTCACCTACCTTGGCATCTCGGGTAAGGTAGTTCATGGATGGGGCAAACGCCCAGCCAAGCATTGAAGTTAGCGGCGGTAAACGATTGCAGCTAGCGCGTGGCCCATTAATGACCAGGCATTCTCGTTACACGACTTGCCATTCTGGCAGCCTGTTGAAATGAGCCTCGTGGCATGCCTAGTACGGCATAGCATTAATGGTGTGAAGACAATGTGTTGGGCGGTGTCATTGGTAAATGGTCGCCGTCAGAGCATCGTTCTGATGGTGGCGGCAGTGCATATGGTAAGACCTTCACCCTTGGACGGTTGGACCTGAATGTGGAGGAAACGGAGCGAATGGAGTGGCTGAATTGGCCCTTCCGAAAACCGCTTCAGACGGCAAGCACCCGGTTAGTCAGTCCTACCACTCCACGTGACTCCATCGGAACATTTTCGGCCAATCATGGCAGCCCTATGAGCCAGCGGAGTCAGGTGGTGTGGCTCATTTGCGCTAGATTTCTTCTCGAAGCCTGCCGTATATGGGTGCCTAGAATTACCTAATCGCCAAATGTGGCTGATCTGGGGAAATTAAGGTGTCGATCTACTCCACCCCTTCCTATCTGAGGCCCTCCACTTCTTCGCCCGACACCATCGACAACACCCTCACTATTATGGTTTCGCCAGGTCAGACATGCATCAAAAGATGTAGGGACGGAATAACAGAGGTGTGCAGGCCCGGGTCAGATCATCGAGGGTCTAGAAGATACAATGCAGGCACGAAGGTAATGCCTCGTCCACCAGCCCATTCAAACGGCATAGTCTGCTGCTCCAATTCCCGGCACCCCAAGATGATGGCCTGTCGTTCTCGTCACCGAACGCTTACTTTGCTATTGCATGCCAACATATCGTGCGGCTGAAATTGCTATCTTAATCACGCAGTGTCAACAACAAGAAATCACTCACATATCCACGTCAATATCGGAGTCAATTCGACATCCTACGCCCTAGACGATGACCGAGCCTAGGGTCTGATTTTCCCTCATGTCAATCGACGAGCGGGCCTCATTCTCGGTCACCTGTTCCGGGAATGCTGAGCGATGGCGGCGCGCTGGTGTCTCCTTGGCCCCTTGCGATAGGAATCAGCTGCGGCGCAGCACAGCACTTTGGTCGGGCGCATTTTCCCCCTCCTCTTCTTTTCAGCACCTTCGCCAGGCACTCGAAAACGCCTCCGAGAACCCTTGGATCCTGCCATTAGCGTAACCGATGATCGTCGACTAGCCTTTGCAGCGCCTGCTTGTCTTCCTTCACCCAGCCGCAGTGCCGCCTGAACCGACCCCAAGAGACGTTATCCAAGGATCTACAACACCCACGAACCAACTCACAGCCTCATTCCGTCTCTGCCCTTTGACACAACATAACCATACACATTCGCCCCTGCGTACCAGTGATCGCTCGGAGGACCCCGTGACCACCAAACCCGATAATCTCCGCCACCATCCCCGGATTCTGAGTCCGACTGCATGTGTCCGTGCAGGCATTCTCCGTTCCCAAAACTTCAGCCCTGTAGAAGTCGAACTGACGCTCCCATCGGCGTCGGCCGAGAGCACTTTCACTACCTAAGTACTACGGAGTATGTCGAGCCGTGTTCCCACTCTTTCGTCATTGTTGAATCCCCGTCTTGGCACCGAAAGTCGTTGCCTGCCTCTTCTGATCCTCCAGGGTTCAGTCACCGTTGCGGCACGCACCTGATGCCAGAGTCGCCCGAGGCGGTTTTGGCACAAAGAGCTCAGGCTTACTGTTCGACTATCAAGGTCGTTCACTCAGTGACCCACGAACGACGCACTTCCAATCATCTCCCTTGCGACTGCATCAGCCTGACGAGCTCACTTTCACGCAAGTCTCAGTCTGTGTTGCGGAAGCCAAACCACAAAGCATCAATTCAATTCCAAACATACTCAAGGTACTGTCGCTATGTCCAAGTACCCTGATGGAGACGGGGATCTGCCCCCTTCATACAACGAGGCAACGACATCATACCACTCATCATCGTCGCTTAACCCCGACCCATCGGTTTCAGCGACCCTCAACAACCTCTCTTCCCTCCTCCGCGAAACACAAGCTCAACAGACCGCCCGCGACACAGTCACGACGACAACTCTTCTACCACTCCTAACGCCACACATCACGTCACTCTTGACACGCCTAGGGACGACCCCTCATCCAGCGATATTAACTGAGCTCTACCTCGTGCCGGCAGCAGCAGTTGGTTCAGAATGGATCATTGCCTCGGATGCCGACCCTAAGGCGGGACAGGTTGCGGAAGTCATCCGCGTGGAACCGGAGGCCTACCCCGATTCAAAGGGAAGGGGTGACACCAAAGGTCAAAGCACAGGCTCATCCTATGAATTCGACGAATGGGGCCGTTGGGACGAAAACACCAACGCCGGATCGTCTTCATCTAGGGAGGGAGAGTGGTGGTGGAGCGACGAAGGTCTGGCCCGGCGTCTCGCGAAGCGGCTACAGCCGGAGCCGAGGCTTGATCGCACCGTCGTCCGCGCCGTGGTAGAACAGGCGAAAGAGGATAAAAAGGCCGGCCGGTGGGGGCTTTTCAGAGTCGGCACAGATTCGTCGTCGTCGCCTTCGTCGTCCTCATCAGCCCCACCGCCTCCTCGACAGTTTATTAAACCCACGTCCCCTTCCATAACATTCGAGGAAAATGTTTCCATGACGGTGCGTGCGGAGGAAGTTACCTTTCGCCGGGAGAACGAGATGGGAATATGGGAGAGTATGCGTGGGTTTGGGATCGTGGTGAGAGTGAGGATACGAAGGACATGACACCCCAGCGTCCACCAGATCGCCCATGTTGGAAGATTGGCAGGTCCAGAGACAGCTCTCTACCGACTTCGTAGTTCGGACTATTTCTGTCGTCCGCTTCAAACCTAATCGTCCGAACCGCAGCTCATTGCTGACCAACCTCTCGTTACTCTGCCCTGATGAGGGACTCCGGCTGACCAATGGGATGAACCAATGCCAGAAGGATGCATCCCTCTCGTCCGAGATTCGATCGAATTCTGGCTTGTTGACGATGATATACGCGCTACCATCGAACAATTGTATTGTAATGGTATTGAGAGATGTTTGGCAATAATGTCTAGTAGATTATGACTTATAAGACATGTGCCACGTGAGCGCATAATGAAATAATAGAAGTAGGAGTTTAACGATAGCTCAAAGATTGTGAATCACAAATATCTCGACCAGACATCACGCACTCCAAACTCCTCAACCATGGCCTCCATCCAGGCAGTCAACCAATCCAACGCCCTCGTCGCGTCTCTCCCAAAGGGCCTAGTAGCAGTCTTCATCGGCGCAACATCAGGCATCGGCAAAAGCACCCTCCAACACCTCGCCCAACACGCGCGCTCCCCGCACATCTACACCGTCGCGCGCCCTCAAAGCGTTGCTTCCCACGAGACCTTCCTCGCCTCGCTGCGCGCAACCACAAACCCAAATGCCAACTACACCCTCCTCCGTGCAGACCACGCCCTCGTATCCGACATTGACGCCGCCATGGACATCATCCTCCAACAGGAAACAAAAGTCGACATCCTCTTCCTCTCGGCGGGCTTCATCGCCTTTGAAGGACGTCAAAACACCGTAGAAGGGCTGGACCCGTCCATGTCGACGCGGTACTATACCCGTCTCCGCGCCGTACAAAGACTTCTCCCTCTCCTCAATAATGCGACCCGTCCGCGTGTCGTGTCGGTGCTGGCGGCGGGGTTAGAAGGTCCCATGGTCGACGAGGACGACCTCGATCTCCGGAAACCGGGGAATTGGGGGCACTGGCCTGCTTCCGTGCAAGCTACGACCATGGGCACGCTCGCGCTTGAGGTGTTGGCGAGGGAGAACCCCGAGGCGAGTTTCGTGCATTCTATGCCTGGTCCCGTGGCGACGCCCGGGTTGGAGAGGGCGAAGGGGTTTGGGGTTGGGGTTACGGGGGAAAAGGACGTTGAGGAGGCGGGTGCGAGGGGATTGTTCTTGGCGACGAGTGATTTGTATGATTCTCTGGGACGGGAGGGAGTTGTAAAGGTTGCTGGGGGTATTGAGGGTGTTAGGAAGTCTGGCGGTGGTGTGTTTTTGGTTGGTCCGCTAGGGGAGAGGGTGGATAATGAGGAGGTTTTGGGGGGTATGAGGGGGAGAGGGTTGGATGAGAAGGTGTGGAAATTTACTCGGGAGCTATTTGATGATTGTCGAAGTCAAAACAGGGAGCTCCGATCATGAATAGACTCTGATACGGTTAAAAGCCTCTTGAAGGCTCACTACTCCATCAACTATGAGTAGCGAGAGGACAAAGATATCCTTGCGGAATAGCGACAGTACTTAGATACGTACTCTCATCAAGGAGAACAGCTAATCATATGTTAATCTAACCTTGTTGTTTTTTGATTAATAAAATTAGATGAGAGTAAACTTGAAGAAAACTAGATAACAATTATCACAAAGCGGGGATCCAAGTGGAAGACATATATAGTAGAAAGTGGCTTGATTCCTCTAAGTGAGGGACCCTTAAGGGGTCGTATCTAAATACCGTACGAAGTGGGCAGTCATCTCGTGGTAAGCGGTATCGTACGGCAGTATATGGGCAGCGCCACATGTGGCGTTGCGACAATAATCATATTTATCACTATATTGTAGTTGATGGGAAAGAGTCGTAGTTATTTCGGGGCCGCGTGGTGCTGCTGGAGTGATAAACCCGGGAGTCGGACCCAGCCCCGGCCCGATCTTAGGGTCAAGCGACAGCGAAGTATAATTGTAGAATTGCAATCACCAGCTTGCTTGATTCCATCGCACAAAAGGCCATGGCAATCCAGATAAGCTCATGACTGAGCCCTTCAGTAGATCGCGAAAAAGATCTGGCTGGACCGCCTATTCGTGCACTGAGAGGTCTAGACCGAAACCGGCTTCCGATTGGAGTCGATCTGCCAGCTTTCTTTCAGCAATTGGGGTACTAAATAGAAAGCCTTCTTTGTAGTCATTCTGCGCCACTCATATCGAGGTTGACGCAAATGGCATCGGAGTGTCAGCGGCGCGGAGTTGAATCACCCCAAAGCCAATAATGCACTGCCACCGCGGCTTCGAGGACAACTTGGCCGCTCATCTAAGCGGGCCGAAGGAATCGTACATACGAGCATCCCTCTCAATCAAATCTTTCTTCCATTGAGGGAATTTCGTCATTTGATGCAAAACTAAAATCGAACCACACTCTCCAGACCAAGAGGTAAATCGTGGTCGTTACCAATTGAGAAGCCCGCGAGAAAAACAAGCAAACATCCAGACGACGAACGACCCTATACCGAAAGGAAAACGACCGCAGATATTCCAGTGACGATTTTCCAATTTCGCAGTCATGTTTTGGGCACGGCTGGCGCCGCCATTACTGCTGCTCTGCCTCGGTAACCTGACGAACGCATCCAATCTGGGCGACCTTCCACCATGCGCAGTGAGCATATATCGCACAAAGTCTTCTTTAAGATGAAGCCTTGCTAACACCCGACAGGTACCTTGCCTACTTGACGCCATTCCAAAGTCAGCGTGCGCTTCCGGTGATCAAACGTGTCTCTGCCATGACACTTCATACATCAATCTAGTCGAGACATGCGTTAGAGCGAATTGTTCAGTCAAAAATGCCCTGGGTCAGTGGATCAACGTTCGAAGTACCTACGTGGCACATTGCTAATCATATCCCCAGTCACGAAGAACATCACACAGACAGAATGTGGCTTTCCGGTCGAGGACGACTTCGCGGCCGTCAAGATCATTCGCCTGGTCCTGTTCTTCACACTCCCCACCTTCGCTATTATCATCCGCATGGTAGTGAAAATCGCCCGGATATCATCCTGGGGACATGATGATAGTACCATTTTACTGACATACGTACGTTACGCCCCCTAGATTGAACGAGTATGGGAATGAAGAAAAGTCTAACTCTTGAATCCAGATCATAATGTTTGGCTTTATACCGGTGAATTATATCGGTAAGAACATTCCTACACGTAGCTAAAAGAGGTTTTAGAACTAATGTGGCATTTACTTTGAAGCTGAACGTAACGGTGCTGGGCGAGATATATGGAGTCTCACCTTTGACCAAATCGACATTTACTTCCTGGTAATTAACTTCTGTCGAAAGCCAAAGAATCATTGGACGGAAACGTAACGCTGACTGGCTCTAGACCTTTTACATTGGTCAGCTACTCTACGTATTTACACTGACGCTGATCAAATGCTCCATACTGTTCATGTACCTCCGAATCTTCCCCGGCGAGAAGTTCCGCCGGGTCTTGTGGGTAACGCTAGCTGTCACCGCGGGGCTCGGGACGGGCTCTGTGTTCCTAGTAGCATTCCAGTGTCAGCCCGTGGGCATGGCATGGAAACAATGGACCGGGGAGGAGAATAGTCACTGTGTACCGGTACCGCCGCTTGGCGTGGTCCACGGGGCGGTCAATATCATCCTGGACGTCTGGATGCTCATTCTACCGGCATCTCAGGTGCTTTTCTTGAACATGAAACCACGAAAGAAGTGGGCGGTGATGTTCATGTTCAGTCTCGGCCTATTGTGAGCACTGTTCCTCCAATGGCATCTTCATCTCTGACATACGACTGACTCCTTTACTACGATCAGCCTCACAATCTCCAGCGGCATACGACTGAGGGCGGTTCTGAGGTACACGACCGCGTCGACCAATCCAACTAGTGAGTAGAGTTTCAAATTAACGGAAAGAAGAATTCTGTTTGGCATGCTACTCTCAGCGGAACTAACCATCTCTAGTCGATGCAATGCCTGTCGCCGTGTGGTCAGACATAGAGCTTGACGTGGGCGTTTTCACGACTTGCATCCCAAATACTTGGCAATTCGTCCGCCGCTTTATTCTCAAAGATCCTAAACGAGTGGAGAAGTTGAGCTCAAACAATGCTCAGAACCAAAATCTCGAGGAGTATCCACAGAAGTCGCCGGCACCGGCGTCGACGGAGGTCGGGGAGGAGGAGCTAAGATGATGCCAAGGCACAGCTTAGGAGGCTCAGTGTGGTTCGCGGGTAATTCTTTACGCGGACGTGGTCTACTTCGAAGACATTCGTCAATTTGTAGAAGGCAATAGAAGATAGATACTTTCAATTGAGGTTTCTGCCGAAGCTTCGTGTCTTGCGCGTTGTCTAGATGCATCTGACTTGCAGTAAGATCTGGTGAACTGAGGCATAGTCGAATTTATCAGGACTAATGTAGCTCATGCAGGACGGACAGCCCGAAGAAACCCGGATCGAACCTTCACAACAGTAGATCATGGCATACGATGAAAGAAGCAAACTAGTAGGACGACAGCTGTTCTTGGCAGCTAGTCGGAGAGCACCTCCGACGCTACGGTCATACTAGCCGAACCTCAGCTGAGAGTCGCGTACACCTGAATGTCTTCCGTTCTACAGCTAGCTGTAGGTCGACGTTAGGGCTGAACCAAAAGTTGAACCACAGGAGAAATACCGAGATTCCGGTGTGTGTTTATTTGAATGATACAGTAATTGAGGCTCCTAACACCTAGGGACTAAGAGATGCCAAGACCTAGCCTTGATCCTATAGCCTAGATTTTAAACTACCAGATACCTCTATCTCAGCCGCCAAAGGCACGTTGCCGAGAGCTGTCGGGCCCTTGCTTCCTTCCATTAAGACATTATACGGTTTCTCCTGCTTTCCAATTTGTCTCCACTTCCAAAGTTTTGGTGGAATCTGGTCTTGGCCCTTTTTTTCCACTGCATCTACAACCCAGTTGCCAATATTCGGAAGATACTTGAACGCGTGTCCACTGCCGCCAGTCGCAACCATGAGTGACTCCTCGGTGTCGGGAACATGGTCAATCACAAAATGGTTGTCATAGCTGTCCGTATACCAACAGACTCTAGTGAAAGAAATATCGATGCCCTCGGCGCCTAGCTCCGGGAGATTCTCTGCCAAAAACAAGCGCAAAACTTTCAGAGCTTGCTGGGGAATCGTCGTCAAGCGTTCGTTACTGTCTTCGTTGGGGTCGCCAGGCGCCGATGCGGTTGACCACCGCGTTACAGGTACGCTGCGTTCCTTGCCATCAGCTTGCGTGACGGGGTTTGTGTATTTGGTCCCGCGATAGCCGATCTTCAGCCAGCCGTTCTCATCTCTGGGGAACCCGTATAGACCACCCTCAGCGCCGTCCCGTACCTTGTAAGTGAAGGTTGGGAAGTTTCCGGGCGCGAAACGAGTAAACAGCGGCGATTCGCGCGGGATCTTGAGCAGCACTACTGATCCTGCTGTAGTCTCACACAGGCCGTCTAGGGCTGGGAGTAAGGAGGGTGTCCAGCCTCCACACGCCAGAATAGTCAGCTTCCCATGATGTGTCTTACCGTCTCGGGTTTTGATCCCGACAACCTTCTGGCCTTCATAAATCAACGAGACAAGAGCACCAGCTTGCGAATCTAACACAAACTTGACGCCTTGGCTTGCAGCCTTATGTAGCGCAAAACGACAGGCCTTGTCAGCCACGGCCATGCCTCCCGTCGTGTCGAGAACGCCGGCCGCATTGAGACCTCTTTGCAAACGTCGGAACGGGTCCATCCCGAATGACCATCCTTTTTCAGTAGCGATTTTTTGATGTTCCTCATCAATGGTGATCAGCTGAGTATTTCGATGCCCTGCTGCCTCCATGTTATCAACAGTGTCCTGCTCGAATTGCGGCAAGGTTGCTGAGTCTGAGAGTGATAGGTTGCCGTTATTGACAAACACGCGGTCGTTGGTGGTTAGGCCGGGTGGGACTGTCTTCCCGGTTACCAGCTCCTCGTTCCAAGCAGTCCAGCCCTCTAGCGCCTCGATGGTCAAGCCCTGGTACTCTGTTTGTGCGCCATAAGCAGATCTGATGATTTTGTTCATGTCTGGAACGTACGTTAGCCTTGTGCCAACAGCACTAGAGGAGCGATAAAGTTTGTTACCTGCAGAGGCTCCATCGGCGCCTTCAAAATACGAATACAGACTTTCGTGGTAGGGCTGTTTGTCATAGACGGTGACGTTCTGGTATCCCCGGCGAGACAGGTGCAACGCGGTGCTGAGGCCAAAGATGCCGGCCCCAACGATGATGACCGCATCGTCCTTATTAGGTGAGCGTGCCATGGTTTTGGGCTGCGCTACTGCATATACCGGTATGGCTCAGCAGAGTTGAAGAAGAAATGCAGAAGCTCTGCTCGGGAGTTTTGGCCCCAAGATGTTCCAGAAACTCTGGCCAGGTCACGGAGAGGAGTCCGAAGGAATTGTTCGTGCTCCGGTAGCGTGCTGCTAAACTTTGGGCGGCGAGGGGTCGACAACCGAAAGATGGAAACACCAGCTTTCTCGAACGGCGTTTAACGGCCTTTTTCTCTTGGATCGAGCAAACTAGTCGAACGCCGACAGGCCGAATGGTATGATCTTCGGCAAACGCCGTGGCAACGTTGCTGGCCGGGTCGGAGCTAGAAGAAAGTGCGGGAGCTAAAGTCGCTGCGTCGCCTGGATGGAGGAGCAATAGTCTGAACTAAACGAGTCTACAACTACGACGAAGTTTCTGAGAGCCTTGTGACTTGTGACAGATGTGAATGATATCACACTGACAATGATTGGCAATTTGACAGGAGTAGGATATAGAACATTCAAATTGATACCAACAACTGCGCAGCCAATCCAACCCTAGTCGCCGTCGCTATCAAAGATACATTGTCCCTCAACGGAGCATTGTTCCTGCCGGGCGCCCCACGGGCCCTCCCCCACCGCGCGGTCTTGGGTCCGGTCCCGGCAGCTGATAACGTCCTAGGCTCTTAGTCTGCGTTGCTCGACGACCCCGCTCTCGTCATTTCGCAGTGTGCCGCAGACATGGACACCCTTGCTCGGATTGTCCCGGATAACGATCCAGGGCTGTGGTAGGCAAGCTACTGCAAGTCCCGGTGACTGTCAAGCTACCTTAGCCTGATACGGATTACGCTAAAGGGGGGTTCAAGGAAGAATCCTATCTCAAAGAGCTGCTTGATCATGAGCCGTAGGGACGAACGGACTGGAAACCCCCGTCCATAGGTGTCTACCCCGGATCTTGAGCTTGCACAGACAACGACCCTGCCGATTGGGACTCCTTGGTCAGCAAGCGAGGCATGCTCGAGGGAGGGTAGGGGTTGAGCCAGACCGGACGTCTCTTTTTCGCATCTTGGCTCTGATAACGTCCAGCTCACGCGTAACGAGCCATCAGACATGCAATCAGGTTGACATATAGATATCCATTGGGCAACCTCCCTGTCCGATGCTATATCGCAAGACCGACCCATCGACACAATACGCGATTCCTTTGGTTCATCTAAACTCACACTTGTCGCCAAAGGTTTCATCTGCTCACTACAACACGGTCGGGTTCTCGTGCCGATCATCCAGACGGTGCGATTCGCCGGACCATTACTCGAACTCGAGAAGAGCAACGCGTCGTCCTCCGTAAGATGGGTGTCAAACAAGTCTTCACGGAGTCGACCTTCGCCAAGTACATCACGGCAATCAGGGAGTCGCCTCGAGAACTCATCTCGAACCGAAAGCTCTTGCTCACCGCAGCCCTCTATGCCACGAGTGGCATCCCCATCAGTAAGAGGATTTCATCCATCATTGATGGCATATTCAAGATGTGCCGGCTAACATGGTCAACCTAGCATGGGATCAAGGCTCGTCCTCAGTGGTGCCGTCGCTTCCCGGGTTTCAGAAGGACTTTGGAATTACCTCGGCGACGAACCCAACCCAAGTCTCCAACTTCATCTCTTTCGTTTATATCGGGGCTGGCATCGGCGCCGGCCTTTCCTTCTTCCTCAATGACCGCATCGGACGGATGTGGTCTTACCGTCTCTACATGACCATCTGGATCATCGGACAAATCATCGCGACCGTGTCGATGGGTAATATCGGCGCCCTCTACTTTGCTCGCATCGTCTCGGGCATGGGTATTGGTGCTCTTACAGTCACGGGACCTGTCAGCATCGTAGAGATCGCCCCTACCGAGATCCGCGGTCTCCTGGCCGTTTGGTTCAGCGTTGCTATGTTGCTGTCATTGACTGTGTCGGTCTTCATCGTCTATGCCTGCTTCATCCATGTCGCGGTCGGAAGACTCCAGTATCAGATCGTCTTCTTCTCTCCAACTATCGTTATGGTCATCCTCATCGCGGCAAGTTTTTTGCTTTATGAAAGTCCTCGCTGGCTGTTCATTGCCAGACGGGACGACGAGGCGATCCAAAATCTGACGGCTCTCCGAGGGCTGCCTGTCGATCACCCCCGCGTGGCAACCGAGATCGAAGACATCAAGGACCAGATTGCCAAAGAGGAAGAGAAATTCGGACGCAACCCTGGCTTCATCGTGTTGGTAAAGGATGCCTTCCTGGTCCCCTCCAACCTGCGTCGTGTGCAGCAGGCCGTTCTGTCGTACGCTCTCGCTCAACTTTCCGGAGCAAACAGCGTCACGTCTTACCTCGTTCCCATCCTGAGCATGCTGGGACTAGGTGGTGGTACTGCCCGTAGCTTGTTCCTCAGCGGCATGTACAGCATGGCCAAATTCTTCTTCACTCTGATTGCCAGCTTCTTCTTCATTGATGCCCTCGGTCGCCGTCGCAGTCTTTTCACGGGTATCACTATCCAGATGATTTCTGATCTATACATTGGTGTCTTTATCAAGTATCGTCAGGAGGGTAATGTTGCACCGGGATCTAGCGAAGCCGCTATCGCCGCTGTGTTTATCCACGGATTCGGATACGCTGTCGGTGAGTAACGTCAAAATTCGTGTCATGGCATAGAGATTCACTAATACTTCTACAGGCCTCCTCGTCCTACCCTACGTCTTCGGTGCCGAGCTATGGCCTAACCACCTTCGCTCCTTCGGCAGCGCCTTTGCACAGTTCTTCCACTGGCTGTTCTTCTTCGGCGTCAACAAGGGTATGCCTTCGCTGCTCAGCCAAACTCACAACTGGGGCGCTTTCATCTTCTTCGCGGGATGGTGTTTCCTGTCGTTGATCTACGTCTACTGCGTTGTCCCTGAAACATCTCTCCAGAGCCTGGAACAACTGGACGAGCTCTTCAAGGGACCATGGTGGAACGTCAGCCGCAGAGCCAAGCAACTGAAGCAGCAAGCCCGGGAGCAGGAGGCAATCATCGACGCTCAAGAGTCAGTGTTAGTATCCTCACTTCACAAATTTTAGCCAGAGGCTAACGTGCATCTGTGTAGAAGCGATCAGAACAGTGAGCCCGAATCTAGCATTGAGAAGAACGGCGCGCGTGCGGTCAGCCAAAAGGTCTGATCAGATGCGTTGATACAGCCCGGCTTGGAGGTACCATCATACCGGGCGTGATGAAGCCATCTTCAAATTGCGTTTATAGCAGGCTGCGGGCTTTTCTACAGTGACTAGATCTTACGTTAACAGCATTGAATTGATAAAGTAATGTTTGAGTCATCGTCTGTATTCTCATAAGAAGTCAGAGGGCCTTTGGCAATAAGATGTGTCCCATTCAACTTCCATCTTCATTTCGTCGAAAAGATGTGCACTCTCTAGGAAGATGCGGTCTGTATGTTTTTACTCCAAAAGCTTGCTCTTATGTTATTACTCTAGATATCCATGCCGGAACCGACTGCAAGAAACATGGATCAGTCGCATTGGAGACATAGCATCATATAGCGAGTTGGTTTGCTATTTCCTGAACGTAAGTATACGAAACTTGTCAAGCTAAGATCTATGATTCTGTCTGATACCACCTTACAGAGTTTCGATGTAGAACTCGGGGTATTGAGTCTGTTTGAAGCATTGTTGAGTCGACGCAACTCTGTGCGAGCCGCTCTAGAAAGTGTATGATGCTAATGCTTCATGCTACTAGATTACTGCCTTCAGATCCTAGATCTCCCCCAAAAGCTAAAAATTGTCGCCAAGTCTATTGGCTCACTTAACCGAAGCCTTTGCTTTCCTGTCATGGATGTCGATAACAGGAGAATTAGGCTTCCCCCTCTTGAACAATGCCCGGATATTCTCAAAACATTCTCTCTCGGCCTTTTGGAAAGCCATGTCTGTGAGGCCACCAAGATGAGGTTGCGCAATAACGTTATCATGCTGCACCAATGCCATGTCGGGCTTGGGTTCGTCGCAGAAAACGTCGAGGCCAGCGCGCGCCACTTTGCCAGAGTCCAGGGCATCCTTGAGCGCCGCCTCATTGATGACGGGCCCGCGGGCGGTGTTGACGATGAAGACGCCATCTTTCATTGCTGCAAATTCCGCGGATCCGATCAGGCCAGTCGTCTGGTCGTTTAGCGGGCAGTTGAGTGACACAATGTCGGACTTGCCGAGAAGGTCCTCTAGTGTTGGGCAGTAAACCGCGTTGTACTTTGCTTCATCTTCCGCGGGAAGCTGGTGGCGGTTGTGGTATCTGATCTTGAGGTTGAAGACGGCTGCTTTCTTTGCTAGGTACTGCATGATGACGAAGATTAGCTTACCAACTTCACGATATAATTTTGATGCAATGAACCAGAATATACCTTGCCAATAGCCCCCATCCCGACAATACCCATAGTCAAGCCAGACGGATCTCTCCCAGGAACAAGCCCCTGAACCGCTCTCCATGTCCCGGCCTTTGAGCTCTTCTCAGCATTGCTCGTGTTGCGCAGAACAGCCAGCGTCAGAAACAAGGCCATATCCGCCGTCGCCTCGGCCACGGCGTCGACCGTGTTGCAGAACCAGATGCCTTCCGAGGCCATCCACTCCACGTCGAACTCGTTGTAACCGGCGCTAGCGGACGTGATGATTTTGCAATTGGGTGCCAGAGCGCTCAAGAGACCCTTGTCGAACGGCTCGTATGGCGGCGTGCCCATGCGGATGATGAAGGCATCGATAGGGCCGTTCTTCCCGATATCCTCTGGCAGCATGGCTATCGTTTCTGCTCGGTTTGTGGCTTCGAGAACGGAATAGTCGAACTCGGTCTCGAAGTCGGCGAGGTAGTCGTCGCCGACATATTTTGGGGTGCCGAGTGCCACGACGCGGGGCTTCCTTGAGCCCAAGTCATCTGTCCGAGCAGGTGCCATGATTGTGTGCAAAATGTCTTCTTCTCAACGACAGTACAAGGGTTGTGGTATGATAGCGGGTTGTTGGATATGATTCAATAGTAGTCGCGGGGTATATGGATGCCAGGAGAAAGAAGTACGCAAGGTGTCAGACGAGCAGCTGACTGAAGAAGACATGGCATTTAGCCGCAATGTCGCCGGCTGCTTTTGAAATAACATTGAAAAGTTGCCCGATTATCCCACGATTACCGGATTTGTTGCCCGTCAGTGACAAACAGAAACACATCAGCTATCAAATTCTGCCGACAAATCAACTCAACCCTTCACGCCCGGCTTTTTTCCGGTGCGGATCCGAATCACGGAGGGGTTTCTACAGTGGTCGGATTCTCCCGAACCACAGGGAACCCCACTCGGGAGGACCCGAATCCGGGGAGACCTTGGTTTTTTTCTCGACAACTTTCCCTCTTTCAAGTTGATCAGTTTACGTACGAACTGCGGGGTAACCACAAACGACTTCCAATTGGGTGATTTTGCGGCTAATCGTTTGGAGAGCATATCAGAAACCCTCCCATGGTTGAACAAACTGTTATCGATGATGTCTATGTAGTTGCTGGTGGTTTCGATAAGCATCGGTAACTCAAGAGCCTTTTTTCGGCAGTCTCAGACGCGGTATCTGCTTAAAGAAAGACGCTCTTGTCACTAGAACGAGAACTATCCGAAGAGCTCATCAACCTCGTGAACTTAAGAGTAGTCAGATTATTCTTCAACATGGCTCAAGCTACACAAAGTCTCCCACCGCTTGGTTTCATTGCCATAGAGGTGGATATACACCGACCACCAGGTGATCCTTACAATGAGCGCACCTGGCCGTTTCCTCTCATCCGTGAAATGGCAGAAGGGTCAAAAGTTTCGCAAGTCGTCACGTCTTCTAGCTATGACTCTACTTTCATAGACCGTTTTGTGGATGCGGGCCTGCGTCTAGCGGCCAAAGGTTGCGTGGGCATCATCACTAGTTGCGGGTTCCTGGCACTAGCCCAAGCCGAGTGAGTATAATGCCGACCTTCATTTGCCGTCAACCCAACTCCAAGAAGAAACCCAAAGTCTAATTTGGGAATTTCATAGACTTACCGCAAGATTACCCGTCCCGATCGCCACGTCATCGCTGGCCCAATTACCCTCAATACTTCCTCTGCTTCCGCCAGGCAAGAGCGTGGGAGTTCTCACTTATGATGAGTTAAAACTAGGCTCTCAGCACATCGCAAGCTTTGTACCCGAGCAGGCGCTTTCCAAAATCATAATCCGCGGAGTGCCGGCGGACGGGCACTTGAGAGGCACGATTGGGAAAGGCGCCCCGTACGTCCACGCAGATATTGAGACAGAGCTCGTCGCTGTTGCAAGAGACTTCGTAGCCAGTCGGTCTGATATCAGGATCCTGGTACTGGAATGCACCAATATGCCCCCGTTCTCGGAGGCAATATTTAGAGCATTAGATGGAAAGATTCCTGTCTATGATGTGTACACTATGGGTCAGTGGTTTTACTCCGGTTTAGTAAGGCCAACGCCGGTCTACTGGCATGGGTAGCAATGGCCGCAATTTGGCCCATGTCGAAGTTTCATGAATATGATTGATAATTACGCAGCCCGTTTCAGCTTGGCATCTCTTAGGTTGGTCCAACTAGACAGGTTCTCAGCAATCACCACACAATCACGAACACTAATGAATGTTGACTTCTATTCTTCTGTTCCGTGTTTACTAAACACTTCTATCCACTCGCAGTCTCATAACAAAAAGTCCCCTCCTGACTCCTTCAAAATCAACTGATATTCTGGCACAAACTGCATGTACATGACTTCAGGTGTACCCGTGCCATCCTTTGTGTACTGTGCCTCCTCCTCACCAACAAACGTCTTCTTCAATCCGCCAACAGCGCCGTTGGTGCCAGGAGCAACAGCCTGCTCAACGAGAAACTGAGCCTGGCAACAACGCTCAAGCGCGATGAAGAACGCAGCCGCCTCAGCCACTGTCCCACCGGCAGTGAGGAGTCCGTGGTTCTGAAGGATGATGTTCTTGTTGGTGGGACCGAGGGCTTCGGCAATATGCTCACCTTCTTCCTTTGCCAGTACAACGCCGCCGAATCCTTCATAGACTGATAGGTCGTTGTAGAACATGCATGAATCTTTGGGATGAAATGGTTAGAATTGAACTTAACCTCTTCACAGTAGTACACTATGAGATTGTGACTTGTGGCCTACCTTGATTAAGCATGTCAATCGGTCGTCCGAAGGTACTCCACGCCCGGCCGTAGGGGCTGTGCATATGGCAGGCAGCATTGATATCCGGCCTCCTCTTGTGGAGAACGGAGTGAATGGTGAAGCCGGCGGTATTCACCGGCTTATCGGCACCGCCGATACGGTTGCCGTCCTCATCGATGTGGACCATGTCCGACACCTTCAGCACGCCAAAGTGCACTCCATACGGGTTAATCCAGAACGTATCCGGTCTGATGGGGTCTTGCGGGAGCTCTTAGCATATTGATTCCAATAACGTAAAAGAAAAAAAGCAAACCTCGTAGACTAATGTGCCCACTGCTGCCATCTGAGAAGCCCAACTTGGCAAAGATGCGAAACGCGGCCGCCATCTGTTCCAGCTGCCATTTCCGGGCAGCTTCTTTCGATTCGGGAACCGGGATCTGGTGTAGGCGCTTGACCTTGCCGCTACCCGCCTTGCCCGAGTCCAGCGCCGAACCGAGCGGCGTCGGTGCCGGCGGTGCTTGTGCGGGTGTGGATGCCGTGATGGTTGTAGTGGTTGACATGGTGGGCGATGTGGTAAATAATGCTCTCAGCTGCAATGTGCCTTCAAAGAAGCGGAGGGGTTTCTTCCTCAGCTGCGCTTCTTATCAAACTCAGCACAAGGGATCTTATCGTGCTATGTGACCTTGGGAGCATGGAAACGTTGAGTCAGTGAGTAGTGGGATATCAAATGTCGGCTACTCCGCATGAGATGATGGAGAAAGCGGATAAGCACAAGAGCAATGTCGCCATCACTCGGAAACCTCCGACCCTGGCGGTTGGAGACGGTTCATGCCCAACTAAGGCCGCTCCTTGCTTCCGATCCACCTTTCGGCAAGATGGCGAGCTGCCGGTACCCCACCGCCCCATACCCGAAGCCACATAACGATCCTCAGTGACATCTTATCAGTAGTCCCCGGCGTAAGCCGGACGACGTAGTTGATGATCTCGGCCATAGTTGCTAGAGTAAGTCATCTGACAATATTTAGTTTTCCTGGTCATGGATTTGGACTTATCGTTTTCGTAATGCTCTCGGGAAACACCATGAGGCCGAGTCTCTGCCAGCGTTTCCCTCCGAAGTCATCGCATGACCCAACTCGACCGTCCGCACGAATAGTTGTTTGTCCCTAGCTTTCCTTTGTGTTCAATAAAACATGATATCTAGAAGTTTGCCTCTGAGTTTGAACTCTCTACTGCGGGCTAGCTCTATCTTAGCCTGACTGATCCAGTAATCCTCCTACTATACCCGAATATCAACCTTATCGCATCCCTCTTATCTCGATATCTTCCTCCTTGGCCACCCTCATCGAACATTCTCGGTCTTTGAACAACAAGTGATTCCTATAACAATACCATCATGTCGACCAGCTTTCTATCCACGCACCGGCCAGGTCCTCCTGGCCATCCGGCACCCGACGCCAACTACGTCGACGCCGACACCCTTCGAACGACCTTTGCGCTCGCCATGTCTGCCATGTACAAGGCCGAGGTGCCACTCTACGGCGACCTCATCCAAATAGTCCAAAGCATCAACAAAGATGCCCAGTCCAAGCAACGCCACGGGTTGGGTTACAGCTCAGGCTCCGCAACAATGGAAGCCAGCATCGAGCGCCTAACCCTCGAGCGGCACGGCGCAATCCGCCTCGGCACCCCGCAAGAACTCCACACCGTCCGCCGCATCTTCGCCATCCTCGGCATGCACCCCGTCGGCTACTATGACCTCTCCGTCGCCGGCCTGCCCATGCACGCGACCTGCTTCCGCCCGACGTCGCCGCAGTCTCTGGAACGCAACCCCTTTCGAGTCTTCACCACGCTCCTCCGGCCAGAGCTGCTCAAGTCCGGGACTGCGCGGGCCGTTGCCCTGGGCCTCCTCGCAAAGCGCAAAATCTTCAGTAATGCCCTCTTGGAGCTCTTGGGCACTGCTGAGACGTGCCAGGATGGTCGTCTGACGCCGGAGCAAGGGGAGCGGTTCGTGGTGGAGGCGATTCGCACGTTTAGCTGGCAGCCATTGGCGGCTGCCACGCACGAAGAGTACGCCCTCTTGCGGAGCGAGCATCCCATTTTGGCGGATATCGCGTGTTTCCGGTCATCTCACATTAACCACCTCACGCCGAGGGCGCTGGATATCAATGCAGCGCAGGAGGCCATGCTTGCTGCGGGCATGGCGGTGAAGAGCCGCATTGAGGGCCCGCCGGCGCGCAAGTGTCCGATTTTGTTACGCCAAACGAGTTTTCTTGCGCTGCAGGAGGGTATTCGCTTTGCTATCTCGGGCAGAGACGAGTTTGTGGATGGTTTCCATAAGGCTCGGTTTGGTGAGATTGAGGAGAGGGGCGCTGCCGTTACGCCTGCGGGGAGAAAGCTGTATGACGTGTTATTGGAGGAGGCAATGGCAACAGTACAAGAAAAAGGAACCTCTTCTGATGCGAAGGTGGTGGACGAGACCTTTGCAAAGGTCTTTGAGAAGTTTCCCGATGATTGGGACGAGCTGCGGCGGCAGGGGCTCGTTTACTCGGACTATCGATGCGCAGAAAACGCCAAAGAGAAGCTGCACAGCTTGGCAAATATCGATACAGCAGACCCGGCTTCTCTCTTGGACCGACTAGTCTCCGAGAGTGTACTCGAAGCGGTGCCCATCACGTACGAAGACTTTTTGCCCTTTTCCGCTGCCGGGATCTTCCAGTCAAACATCCAGTCCGGCTCAAGCAAGCCCAGGATAGACCACAATGAGCCGACGCGGCCGGATGTGAATGGATACGAGAAGGCTTTGGCGAGGGAGATCCTCGATGCAAACGCTTTATACGCGCAAGCGCAGAAGAAGAGTCTGCAGTCTTGTGCGGAGGAGCTTGGTTTGAGTATGGACATGATTCCTCGACTTTGCTAGTACCTAGGAGCAGGATTCCAGATAGACACTTGGAGAGCTTGTTCATGCTTTTTGTTCTGTCGGGATGTTTGGCTTGCATTTCACGCCAATGATTGGAAAGATTTCTGATTTTTGTTACAAGGTTATTAACCTCATATCACTCAGCCGGCGTATCTCGGCACCCCTAATTATTATATCAAACTCGTTCATCGTAATTCATGGCATCTGTTCCGACGTGTCAGCCATAACTGCTAATAGTCTCGAACACCTTGAAGCAATTCTTGCACCAGCCACTCCGACTCTTGCGGGATCGATAAGTCATCCAGCCCCATAATCCAATCCTGCATCGACGGCGCCGCACCACCACCGAAAGCAGCATGCATATCAGCGTCCGCCCCAGGGCCCGGCCCGATCACCGGCAACGAAGTATTACCACTCGCCGCCGCCGCCGGCGGCTTCAGCCCATCATTGCAAACCATGCTAATCGTCCGCTGCGACAGCGCCTCAAAGATATCCCGGTACGACGTCGCCAGATTCCACCGCTCAGCAATGATGATGAGGACGGTGGTGCACGCCATGCAAGTCGTAACAACATCGGCCTGCCTCGTCGAGTCCCGAACGCGCTTGGAGCGCCACAGGCAGTAAAGATACGTCAGCCCGCCGAGGAAGAGGATGTGCAGGCTGCCCCAGGTGAACTGAACCGAGGAGGACTGGTAGACGCGGCGGTAGAGCATGCACATCTCCCGCGCGCGTACCGCGCACTCTTCCAGCACCCGCTCCGTGGCTTCGTTGTCGTTGGGGTTTCCTCCACCGCCGCCGTCTGGTGTGGGGTGGTTCGCGAGTGATCCGCCCATCATGTAGTGGCGGTATAGTAGTAGAATGGAGTGGTCGTAAGCGAGCTGGAACCAGGAGCGAGAGGTGAAGACCGAGAGCGGATGCGCCCTTGAGTAGTTTAGCTGATCGGGAGTTTTTGCACGCCACTCCTCTAGTTCTTGGCGGAGGCTCTCTATCGTCGCTGTATGTCCACAACCGCAACGTCGAGTTGTCGGAGGGTACAAGTTGTCGCTGATCTTTGTCCATAAACGCCTCAGTTTGATAGCATGGATGAAGCCGGTCATAAGTGTCGGCGGATCTGTACTTGATGTTCGTGAGGCTGACAAAAGTCCTCCCGAAGTCACATTTTCGTCATCGATATCTAGTGGTAACTACGCTCCTTGTTAGCAAATCAATGGGAGAGGTTGTCACCCGAGTCATGAATAGTGTAGGGCTAACCTCAACATCAATAGAGTCATCTGGAATACCAACTGGGCGGCCTAGTGTGAAGGCAACGACTCTGTCAATGTCATACGCGACCCAGAAACACCTCTTGGACATCTCCTTAGTCAAAGCATCTGTATTCCTATGGTATCTCTCGGCACTGCGGTGGTAGCCGAGCTCAATACAATGGCGTATAGCCATGCCAGAGACTTTCCTAAGAAATAGTCAAAACAGCTCCATGATTTGAAGTAGACCGGCGACGTACCACAAACTGACACCAACAGGTGATCTGATGGAATACACAGCACAGGCTAATATTGCTTGGATGGACTCTAGGCTGTCGAGATCCAAGACAGCCGAGATGTGGTCCAGGGCCATAGAATAGTAAGCCTACCGACTCCTGCGTCAATATTGCGTGCTGCTAATTATGCGAATTCCGAGAAAGGGTATGACATACCTCAGCAGCATCATAATGGCTTTGGCCAAGGACTAAAGACCCTATTGAATAGACCTATAATTCGTATCAGAGCACTGCCGGATAAATGACAGCTATGTATCAGGCGCTTCAAAGTTCAGGCTTACCATCAACACGAAGAAGAGTGTCGACCCGTTAACACTGCTCAAATCTCCGTCGAGACTCGCTTTGAGGCAAGTCTCCTCCCAAATCTGGAACGTCGGCTTGTGAAGGAATGGGTACTGGGGATGTATGTTGTTAAAGTACGCTTCCGACAAGTTTGCCCTCAGCGTCGGCGACGGTAACCTCAACGGAACCTCTCGGACCACTTCAGGATTGATATCCTTCCCCCGGCCTGCATGGCTATGTTGTGAGCTCCCGCCAGTGCTGGCAAGACCCATGGTAGCGCTGACGATGCGCGAAAAGGAAACAGCGGAAGAAGGACCAAAGTAATGCGGCTCTCGACCGGCCGCGCTGAGACAGAGCAGCGCAACCTCTGAAGACAGGGTATCGACATGATGGTCGTCAACATCTGGAGAAGGCGCCCGCAGCGCCCGTGAGAAGTCCACGTCTTCGAATGACGAAGGGTGAGCCTGAAGATTCGGGGCGAGGGCCGACGGCATATGCATGATAGACATTGCTTGCGTGGGACCGCCGTTCTGAGAAGCGGCAGCGGCGACAGCGTGTTGGTCTGCTTCACGACCACGACCACCACTACCCTCGTGGTTGGCACCAAAGTGATCGAGGGCGACTTCGGGCCGAGCCTGCTGTAAGAGACCTTCGAGATAGGCAACGCGGGCCTCCAGCGACTTCATGTAGTCGCGCGGGCGATGTAAGCCGGTGCCGGGGTCTTCTACCAGGCAGTCTGGTTTTCCCCACATCAGCTAGAGTTCGTCATGCCGTCTCATGTCACTGTTGGACCTTACCTCGTCCAGTCCTCACGCAATTCTGGCACTTGGGACTTTGTCCGTCGCACTATGAATGAGTCAGTCACGGTTCTGTTTACCTTGAATAGAGACTTGAATGTTACCTTGAGCTTCTTCTGCTTACAGCCGATGCAGGCCAACATGGTACGCTCGCCGAGTCGCGGGCGTTTGGCCTGATGGGTGCTGCCGGTTCTTTGGCCACTCATTGTGAAGGGAGGAGGGGGAAAAGAAAACCAGTATGTCCTAGACGAAAAGGAAAACGAGAGGAAATGCCCAACGGCGCGGAACCGCCGATCTGCACAGTGGAGACTTTGAGAGTCAGATATCGCAACGGTTTGAAAGCATGTACACGAGCATGGAGACCTCGGGCTGTCGTCCGGGAAAGTCTGGGGTACGTTTGCTGTATGTGTTAGCACCTCAGTTTCCGTAGAGTTGTTGGTTCGGACAACAATAGGGGGCCACGGGGGTGGGGGATGTACCGGAGGGCCGCGCTACCGTTATCTCGTGCGGAGACTGGTGGGAACGAGTTAGCACTGGACTGTCTGCTCGGAAAGTTCCTGGCTCCCCATGAATTGCAATGGTTTTGCGTTGTAAGTACACCTGTTAGTGCACGGAGATGGGTGTCGAATTCGGCCGGGAACGTTTTGCTTTCCGGCATCGGAGGAGACCAACTACTGAAGCCGGTTTAGTATGAGTTGAACCATGTTACCAGGTTTTGAAAGTTGAATCAACCCTCAGCGAACCTCATCGTTTTTCATCCCGTGTCTGCCTTGCGTGTAGATACACCGTATTATTGAGGCCATCTACACAACGACACAAGGTGGACTCAATTGTGTTTGCAACGAAGGCTTGACCCACAAGGTCCACCGCTACGGGTCTTAGTCAACTTACGCTTCCAGATTTTCAACTTCCACAGTCTCTATGGCTCAGTCGGTAGAGCGTTGGTCTCATATCCATACATATGACTCTAGAGCATCTAGAGATATCCAAAGGTCGCAAGTTCGAGCCTTGCTAGGGACATTTGCTTTTGTTTTTTCGAATATCTACTGTTTGAAGCATGATCTGCTGCCAAAACCGAATCACCTAGGCCCTGACCGATAGTTATTCATTCTCTCTGGCTCACGTTTTCCTTATGTCCATCCAGCAAGCATAAAACTAGCTCATTATGTAGACGACACAAAGAATGACAGACCTGGGTTTAAAGAGGGAAAAGACTTCAATGACTGCCTAAGTTTCTCTTTTGGTTGATTCGACGACATGTTTCAGAGAATGAAAACTAAGGAACAGTCCTAGAACCAATTCAATGTGCCCTTTCTTTCTTCCTTGTTTTCCGACCAGCCTGTAATACATTCATTCCAATCGGTTGCGCCGAACCATGTTCCTTGGCCCAAGTTGAGCAGCGATAAAAATAGCAACCACTCCAAACGGGTTCAACCGCTGTCTTGAAGGTTAGCACTTTACACCACGACTCAGAACCTGCAACCCGCTAAACAACACCTGCGCAATGCACTGCAAGTACTTAATAACCTGCAGTGTAAACATCGTAGCGACACGTTTTGGTTGCACAACACCATCGCCCAACGTCGAAAGAAAGACCGCCAATAACTTCACCCAAATGCAGCCAACCCCCAAGATCAATCGTCCGGATAACTCGGGATGCTGCTAAGCCCTCGGCTACGTAGTACTGGGGCAGCAAATGGCAGCTATCGTTCGCCAAGTCTGAAAGCTTTCGCCATCCCACCACACGTGTCATTTAACTGGAGCTTTTGTATCCGTAGATGCAGCGGGCGCACGCGTCACTCCTGGAAGTGAGTGAGTTTGGCGGGGGGGCTCAACTCACTCTCCTTTATTTCAACTCCCCAAAACACCACAAACCCGCAACCCACAACCATGAGGAAATTCTTCAGGGAAGCAAAGCAAAAGATCGAGGCCGAAATCGCCTCCATCACCGGCGACGATGAGCCTCAGCAGCAACAGCAGCCGCCGCCGCAACAGCAGTACTATCCCCCTCAACCGCCGCATCAGGGGTTCGAAAGAGCGGTATTTGCTCATTTCATGGTTCGTGACATCCGGAGGCCTCCTCAACACCACACTATGAGATGCAAATGTGGAACTGACGCACAACACCAGCTGAGCAATACCTGCGAATACACCGTGGACGAATACAAGGTCGACATCGGCCTCGCCCAGCAAGCGCACATTGACGCCTTTGTCCTAAACTTTGGCATCCACGAGGAAGCCATCGTGAGGCTCCCCGACGTCTTTGCCGCCGCGGAGCAGACGGGCTTCAAGCTTCTCTTATCCTTTGACTACGAAGGAGCAGGAGCATGGCCCAAGGAGCGCGTCATCGAAATCGTGAGCAGAGTACGTTTCAATCCCCCGACCTGTAATCAAAGTCCGAGATACTAATCCCCCCAAGTTCGGCCTCTCACCAGCCTACTTCAAACGCGGCCACCAGCCCCTCGTCTCAACCTTTGAAGGCGTCGGCAACGCAGCCGACTGGCACGAGATCAAGGCCGCGACGAACTGCTTCTTCATCCCCTCCTTCTCCTCCATCGGCGCCGACAACGCCCTCAAGACGGGCGTCACCGACGGCCTCTTCAGCTGGGCCGCCTGGCCCCACGGCAACGCGCGCAAGATGGACGAGGGGCTCGACGCCTCGTACCGCCACGCCCTGGGACCCCACCGGCCCTACATGGTCGCCGTCTCTCCCTGGTTCTACACCAACCTGCCCACCTGGAACAAGAACTGGGCGTGGAAGGGGGATGACCTGTGGAACGATCGGTGGAATGAGATCTTGGCCATGAGGCCCGAGTATGTGCAGATTGTGAGTAATCCCCGACCGTCTGTGATGTGAGAAAGCAGAGACACAGGTTCGATTCTAACCGAGATAAAACAAGCTCACCTGGAACGACTTTGGGGAATCGCACTACATAGGCCCCCTCCACGAAAAACAATTCGGCGCCTTCGAATACGGTCAAGCCCCCTTCAACTACGTCCGCGACATGCCCCACGACGGCTGGCGTCTCCTCCTCCCCTTCCTCATCGACCTCTACAAATACGGCACCGCCACCGTCCGCCGCGAGGGCCTCGTAACCTGGTACCGCCTCCACCCGGCCCACGCAGGCGACGCCGGCGGCACGACGGGCAACACCTCCTCCCACGGCCAGGAGCTCTTCCACCCGTCCGAGATCATGGAGGACAAGATCGTCTTCTCCGCGCTGCTGACGGGCCCCGCGCAGGTTACCGTCAGTGTGGGCGGCGTCGCTGAGGAGGCTTATTGGGACGAGGATGACGGGACTCCTGCGCGTGGTGGCGTGGGCGTGTACCACGGTAGTGCGCCGTTCAATGGGCGGACTGGCGAGGTTGTTGTTACTGTGCATCGCGGCGGGGAGGTTGCTGCTCAGGTACAGGGGCGGCCTATTACAACCGAGTGCCATCATGGAGGCATGAATAATTGGAACGCGTGGGTTGGCGCTGCCGAATCTCATGTGGAAACACATGCTGTTGCTTATTTGGGTTAGTCGAGATGATATAGACCATAGATACATAACCAGGTTAAACGTTGTAGATGAAAATCCGTGGTATTGGGCACAGCACAGTAAGACGCATGGTTGTGGTTCAGAGTATTTTGGGTTTTTACACACACGGAGTGTGGGACCAGGTATTATTCACAAACAGAACCTGAAAAAAATGAGCTGCATCTGCGGCGCTGTGTCGCCTTGCAGATGAGGGGGGATCCTACAGATACATATCCAGAACACCATCCCGCCAACCGTTCCCCGTCTGTACAAATCGCAAAAAGCCAGTGAAAAAAGTATAGACATCTCGAACGCAATCACAGAGGAGCACCCTGTGACGGTCTTGAACCAACCCCTGGGAACCAAGCAGATGCTCCCCTACACTTGTGCCGTCATCATGACACCGGGTATTGCCATTCGCCCGTCGTCTTGTTCATGTAACCAAGCTGCTCGGCCGCTGCCGTGAAGTCCTACTCCTCGTGCACACTGACCATGGTACCGTTACCCTTAGCAGACTTCTTACCAAGTTTCAGCATGCTGAGCCTCTTCCGGACGCTTCCACGTTTGACGATGCCAAGTTCGTCCACAGGCCGTTCGTCTTTGTACTCCCGCTCCTTCTCTGTCAAGTTCGTTCCCGCGTCTGAACTGCGACGTCCGCCCGAGTCCGTCACCCATTCGCTGGTGGCATCGTTACTGCCTAGAATCCGCGGTATGTCGCTGGACGGAGCTCGGAAGAAGCTGCTGCGACGGTTGGCGTTGCTTGTAATCGTCACGTTGTCCTGTGTCTTGCTGAAACTTCGACTGCGGTGGCTGACGGTATCTTCTGCTTCCGGTGTCGTTTGAGGGTCGCTATTGGTCTGTTGTAATACTGGGGATTCCTTCTTACGACCTCCCAAGAAGCTGAGACGCGTGCCGCGCCCTTGGCGGATGGCAACTGGTTGAACCGTCGACACTTCTTCGACAGCCACTCCGTTCGTCATCGCACCAGCAAGGCTCTGCGGTTGGGGCGTTACTTGTTCGGTAGATGGCGACGACCGTCTGTATGTCGGTGAAGCATTGACAGACTCCCGGGATGGCTGCTGAGGAGCGAAGAGGGCAATCTCAGGTGCAAATGTGCTTTCAAAGTCTGTGACGCATTAGCTTGGGGAGGCCAGACAGGGAGGTCATGAGCATGAGCACGAAAGACTTACATCGTTGAAGTTCCTCGTGCCTTTCGTTGAGGATTTCGTTCGTACTTCTGGAAAAGGTTGCGAGGCACCGCTTGATCATGATCGCATGGTCTACGAGCGCCATCTTGATCGCGTTGTCTTCGGGTTCAAGCTCAGGCTCAACCTCTTCTTCTTCCAGCACATACTCCTCGTCATCCTCGGGTTCCGCACGGGACGGCAGTAATTGGCGATAACAAGCCACACTATTTTCCGAATCTGGGTTGACCGACACACTTACTGCGTCCACAAGCAGCTGTGCGTTCTCTTCGTCGCCCTCAGTAATCCGCTTCTCGATCACTGTCATCTCCTGCGTCTTTCTTACAATCCGCTCTAAGCCGGTCTGGCGGGCACTGAGCTTGATCTCTTCGGTGTGCACAATCTCGCTGCGGCGAAGAATTGTCGGGAATGGGTCAGCAGTGGTGAATACCATCTTCTCCGCAAAGTGTTCCTGAACAGGACCAGATGTGCTACGCTTAG